ACTTTACAAATCAATACATCAATCCCCTAACATCAGTTTTATATACAAATACATTTTTCCCCTTTCAATTATCTTCTCGGGCCGACAGTCCACCACCCTAGACATCTCGTTCTGCCCCGTCTTCTCGGACCGGACTGAGCCAGCCATCCTGGACATCTCGTTCTGCGATCATCTTCTCAAGCCGGCCTAAGCCCGCCGCTTTCGAATCCCTAACCTTTCGAATGGTGCTAGAGGCACTCTGACAATTGACGTCCTAACACCGCCAGAGTTCTCCCTGATCGTGACCATATTAGTTAAATTCAGTTCGCTGTCATGAGCCGCGAGCGTGCTTATAAGCTCCGCCACGTCGATCGAGTCCTCGATCCCGATTAGCACCAGAGCCACACTAGGACACGGGCGTCTGACTCTCTTGGCGTCCCCGTACTTCCTCGCCAGAATACTCGCTAATTCATCAGCGTGCGCCTTGTCCGAAGTTTCAAGGACCATGTTACCAGACTTGGCTCTTCTGATATTGATGTCGAAAGACGAGGCTTCCTTGAGGACAGTTGCTTTGACCTCTCTCACCATGTCTGCGTATAAGGTGGTGCCGGCAGGCTTGTCCAGCACCACGGCCTGCGTCCTGGGCAGACGCCTATGTTTGGCGGCCTTGATCTCTGGTGGTTTCTCTGCTGGAGGGTCCACCTTAGCCAGTGCAGCTACGGTTGCATTTTTCTTCCGCCTTTTCCGCCTTCTCGGACTGACGACCGTGTATTCGGGAAGATCAGGGTCTTCCACAGCTTGTCCTTGGCTCTGCTTGACTGGCAGCTCCTTACTTGAGGCTTTGAACCTAGGTTTGTCCGACGGCAGGTTTTCTGTAAAGTTGTTTGGCAGGGGTTGCCGTGAGGGCCGAACCTCCCACCAGCACGGAGTGTCCGTAGCAGCGTCTTTTGTGGCGGGCTTTGTCGCACCGAGCGCCTCCACTGATAATTGGCAGCAAGACTCTTGTTCGGTCATTCGTGTCTCAGAGTCTCTGCGCTGATCTGTGATTGTCTGCGTTGAGACACTTCTGCAGTCCTTGCTGACCGATCCTAGCAATGTGTCGCCCCTAGGGATTTTATGGGACAAGTCGTTGAAAGCCATGTGGACATCATCGCGGCTCCTCTTGATTGCGGCGATCACTMCCAGCAGATCTCCAATAGCGACTTTGACCTCAGGGCTTCTCACCTTAGTGGACCACTGCTCCAAGGCTGCTGCCTTTTGGGACAGCAGCTTGTATCCGCCATCATGTGTTGCTAGACACTTCCGGAGGTGCCTGCAGGAGTCATACAGTTGTGTGCCAACGCGGGTCACAACAGTGTCAGCACTAGTAGCAGGGAGGATGACGGGGGCCTGGCTGCCCACCCCTGTATCCCTGCAGTCGTTGGATGACGACCGCCGGGAGCCTGCTGGCGCACTCCCGACTGCCGGCACMTGGGGGTCCGAATCCCCTGGTGCGGTAACCAAATTTCCGTTTTGAACTTCCATTTGTAGTTTTTTTAAAGAGTGACTCTCCCTTGCGTTTTAGCCCTGCCGCCAGGGGGATTTTATTTCGGTGTTACCTTCACCTATGTCCGTTTGCAGGCGCTTGCAGGTGGACCAGACCTGCCCGACCAATTAAGGTCAAGCTCTGTGTTTTGGTCTAATTAAGACCGGGATCACTTAGTAAGACTCAATTAAGAGCCCGCAAGCCTCCCCGC